GTAACTGAAGTACTTGTGGTATAATTCAGCTTGGATGAAAGGTAGTAGGCCAACCATGGTCTGCTTGGCTAGTGAGCACACAGGTCCAGCGACCAGTTTAGCATCCCACCTTCAAGCACTCTTCTGTCTCTTATTTACTCCTGTTACCATCCCTGGGGTCCACTTTACCCCACCCCCGAGCCCCCCTGAATTTGTCCTAGAGTTCAGATTATAACCTTGAACTTTGATTTGGTTCAGAATACCTCCCTCGAACTCTCAAAACTGTCTAAAACACACCCCTCCCATGAATTGGCTGGTTCAAACCTGGTTTTGCATTTCGTGTGTCTGGGGCACGAAATCCCAGCTCTGCAAATTTGCACTACCGCCCGTTCCGCTCCGCTGTTTTCAGATCCTGGAGCCTGACTGTTCGTGCGCTCAGTTGCAGAGTTGGGTTACTATGATGTATCTTGTTATATCTGCTTCGAGAGAATTCAATTGTACAACACCTTGGGTAGTCTGATATGTATAAGGTTGTGTCCGTCTACGGTGCCCCCAGTCGAGGTAGCCATTGCATTTATCTGTGCGATTGTATGTGCTGATTGAATGATGTGACCATGGTTGATGGCCCCATGCATATATGTGTTGTTACCGATTGCAGCTTCTTATGAAGCTAATAAGCTCGTATCAGAAAGTTCAGAGGTGGAGAACCTAGACCAATACTAATACTAATAATACTACCTCCATCCGGGTTTAAAGCCCCGGCTAGCCATGAAGCGTCGTCCACTTTTACATGGCCTTAGCAGCCTTGGTACTTGCATGCATAGTTTAATGCTGTTCTTTCATTGGTCGCATGCAAAGCAGAGAGAGAGCGCGCTGGGCCCTAGCTGCATGCAACAGAAGGCTTAATTGTTCTGTAGCCATCAATTTTGTCAGGAGCTGCACCATGCCTTTATTCTAGAGAATTGACTCACCGGACTATTAATCCCAGACGGAGTTAGTACTCCTTAACCCCCCCCACCCCCCCTCATGCAAAGCCTACTCAATAGCATTGCATAGGTGGCCATTGCATTTATCTGTGCGATTGTATGTGCTGATTGATTGATGCGTCCACAGTTGATG